TACTATACACTTTTCAAACAAAAAAAAGGGGGGGGGGAGGTGTTGGTGCACTACCTTTCAATTACTTTGGGAAAATGTCAGAAAGATAACCCCTTCCGCCCCCCCCACACACACACACTTTCATTTCCATATATAGAGCCCTCTCAAGTGACTTTCCTCTAAATCCATGACTAAATAAAAAATGCCTTTGGGTAAAAATCGTATCAGTCAATAAAGCCATGAATGAGGTGCATGAGAGATTTGTGGGGATTTATTTCTAGGTAAAGACTGTAGGATTTGGCTCCATATATTAGATCAAGCTTAAAATCTATTAGATTCCATTAGTCTGAAAGCTCACAGAAGTTAGATTCAGTAAATAAACGCATGTGTGTGTGAGAGCGAGAGAGAGACTGGGTTTGGTGTCTATCCCGCTTCCTAGAAAAATACAGACAGCCTCTTTTCTGTATAGCGGCGGTTCTGCATGACCAAAAGCAGCATCTGAAGAAATCTAATCAGCACCTTCCACACACTGCCCAGGCAGTTAGTCGGATATGTGCCTTTGCCTTTATTAGCTTAGTGTAAGCCTTAAAATATGGTTGCTCCATTACAATTAATCAAAAGCTTCTGTTGACGGATTCCCACTCGGAAGAGAAAGTAGATAGCTTCTCCCTTACTTTGCAGCTGGTGTTTTGTTTTTAGCCTCACATAGTGGAGAGGTGTGTTTTTTTAATCATCATGGTTTGGCGATTTACATTAGAGGCTGCTGTCTGTTTGGAAGATTCGATGCAATTGTTTCTCTCTTGCTCTCACTCATCCACCCACCCCTGTTCGTGTCGCTATAAATAGGAATCCTATGGATTTGGATGCTTATACAGTGGGTTCCCTTTCCCACTCTGTTCATTTGGATTTCTTAATGCTGGTCGGCAGTGAGCGATCTGCCACTTCTTCCGAGTTTGGCTCATCTGTTCAAGTTCCAGATGCCAAAAGTCCCCCCCCCCCTTAAATAAAACTCCCACTCCTAACGATTATAACTTCAAACGTTCGTCTCTACAAATCTTCAAGGTGTTTCCTTGAAATCTCTATATCATGGAGAGGTTAGGGCGCATAAAGGAGCGGTTGGGAGGGAGGCTGTCTTTTGTATGGATGCTCAAATGGTAGTGGACAACCTATAATCATTAAAATTATTTGCGACCCGGAGGGGGAACGCTTTGAGATCCACTAAAAATACACTCCGACCGAAATACACCAACGCCATGGAACTTGCACTGAAATTCACGAACCGGTGTAAAATAACCGAGCAAGCCTCCTGACACTTGTCACATACCATTCATAAATGTGGTGGTGGTGGTGGTGGTGGGGGGGGTGTCGTCTCTCTCTCTCTCTCACACACACACACACACACACACACACGGTCTCTGAGATGGATGATGATATTTCGAGCACAGAACCCGATCCTGGATCATTAACTTCTTACCTTCTTTTACTGAGCTCGGGGCTGGGGTAGCTGACAACTGCTGGGGAAGCGGACTTAGCAGAGAGCAACGAAATCCCATCTGTACCTGGCAGGGCTGGGAGTCCTTCTCCGGCACCGATCATAATCCGCCTCTGCGCCTTTCGCCCCCCACGCCAAAACTTTGGCTGCAGCTGACGGTGCTTCTCCTTGCGGGTGGCCGGGCCGCTCGCCTTTTGCGGTATCCAAAGTGGTGCGGGCGAAAAGCTGCCGGAGCCCGAGCCCAAGCCCGCCCTGCAGGCTGCTGGTCCCCGCAGGCTGGCGCTTGCCTGTGCCTTCTCGGAGCGCTCCCTTCCCCTTCTCTCGCCTTCCTCCCCTAGGAGGCAGCGGCACCATCCTCCCCCTTTCTCCTCCACCTCCTCCTCCAGCGCGCTGCCCAGGGCACTGGCATCCCCGGCGCACTTTCTCCCCTCGCGTCTCCCCCTGCCTGCCCTCCCGCTGGCCGAGACTCAGGAAGGAAGGAAGGGCGGGAGAAGCCGAAGGAACCCGACCAAGCCCGGTAGTTTTCTCCGCTGGAGACGAGGAGAGGCTCACAGGAGGAGGAGGCGCAGAGACCCAGGACTGTGTGAAGTCTCAGGGGAGACCGCAGGGACACGTCTGTGTGAGTATCTGCCTGTCTCTCCAGCTCTCCTCGCCCCGCGCTTGCTCTCAGCTCGGGCTGCGGGTTGATCTCAGCAGTAATGATGCCTCAGATCTGACTATTCCCTGCTAATGTAAGTCGTGCTTCCCCCCTCGCTCTCCCCCTCCCTGCCTGACACCCCAGGGAGATGTTTACAGTAATGAATTCAGTGGAGAGCCAGCCCCCCCCTCACCCCTCCCAGAGTCCCTCCCACATTTCTAGTTTAAAGAATGCTTGGAAGGCAGCGCAGGGCTGCAACCTAAAGCTTTCCAAGAGGCAAAGTCAGCCGCTGGGGCTTTTTTTTTAACCCATTCCCCGCCAAACGTCGTTTAGCGAGCCGGGTCTGCTACTCCAGCAGAACGCGCTCCATGGCGCTGGCCTTGCGAAGGGATGCGGGCCGCTGTGTGGGGTTAGTTGTTTTAATCGCCAAGAGGGGCTGTCCTTGCCGCCCTCTCGCCAGATCGCTGTGCAAAGGAGGTAGCGCTGGCAACACAGCCACGGAGGCTATTCTTGCATAATGTGTTCCTGCTTCTCACCCCCTAGTTAGGAATAAGGGCAGCGTATGATCCTTTTCCTATCTGAGGGCTGTAGGATAATATCAGCGGGGGATATTTGAAGTAAAAGAAACTACCGGGGCAAGAGATCCAAATGTAAAAGTGTCCAAATTATAATAACCCTCTACACCAACATGGCGTTATTTCACGTGCATACAAGCATTTACGATTTCTCTCTTTGTCCTTCTCTGCGAACTTTTGTCTAGGAAATAACAACAAAGGACAATATCTTATCCTTTGGGAAAGAAAAGGATCTTTTTTAAAATATCTTGCTCGATTGCCGTCATCGGTCACCCAAGGCTTGAAAACTGCTGAAGAAATCTGAGGATGTATTTTATGGCCAACTATGTCTGGCCATACATATCAGATAAACCTCTTGCTGACGTTGTGTACGGAGCTAAGAATCTATTTAGAGATTTTTGCACATGTTCTGGATGGTCTGCATTACTTTCAGTGGGGAAGAAAATACAAGAAAATGCCTGCCTAGTTCATTAATGAGTGCTTGCTATGTTCTTAGAAGCTATGCTATTTAATTTTGAAGAACAAGTTACATTATAGACTTTCCTGAGGAGGGGGCGCAACCTGGAAAGTTTAGGACACAGGCTGTTTTAAGTTCTTGTAAGGGTAGGGAGAGCGGAAGGGGGGAGGAGGAGAGATAGGTGAATTTGATCAATGCCATGTGTCTTTTAGCCAGGAGAGGCAACTGAAGTTTCTCAGGCTTTATTTGTTCATTGCCTTTGGCTGCATTATCAACTTGACATTTCTGGTCATCGGTAGTTGAAAGCAAAGCCATTTGGCATGGGTTCTAAATCTTATCCTAAATTTACGTGGGGGTCTAAATTATTCCCCTAATTTCAAGGGCATATCTCATCCTCTTGTCACTTGATGGAGATGCTCTATCAGATGCAATAGAGATGGCCAGTGTTTAGAGACTGGATTTGTGTGTATAGCTGTGTCTCTCTCTTCACCTCCATCCCCTCCACACACACCACCAGCGGAACTTAGACTGTTCCTTCCGCGCGCCAACCTTTTCCCCACGCTGTAGCGCCCTTAAAGGTGTATCAAGACAACCTACAACCATAGCGCACTGAAACAGCCCGCAGCCGAGACAAGTTGTATTGCAGAAATGCGCTGAAAAGCGTGCCAAGGGGCAAATGAGGGGCGAAGGGCAGCCAGCCGGTACCATCTCGCCAGGCACTTTCCTCAGCGGATACAACATCAAAGCTCGCTGCTCACTGCCCAGTCCCGTAGGAGCTATTTTTCCGATCACAGTAGAAGCCGCCTGTGACCGCCACCACCCTGACCTTGATCTTGCTTCCAGATGACACATTTATCTGCACAGGTGCAGTGCAACGACTGGGGGCTGAGGGGGGATGTGGGAAGACTGTAGCACGATGGGGAGGCTAGAATATCCTACCCCTCTGTAGAGACCGGGGGGAGGAGGAGGAGTTGTCTGCGTGATGGCAAACACCCCTAGCGGCTTGTTACCTTTTCAGCACAAGGGTGGTAGGTGTCTTGTCCAGGGTCCCCCAGGGATCAGTAGGATTCTGCTCACGAAGCGTGGTGGCCAGGGCTCAGAAGGGAGCCCTGTGCAAATCAGGGAAAACTGAAGCGCTGGGTTCAAGGCAGGGTGGAAATAATCACTGCTAACCACCGAAGAGAAGAGCTACTGCCATCAAACCTACTCCCTGCGTACAGCTTCACCTCGAGGAATCAAGGCAGCACCAGCCCTAAGGGGTTAAATCGGACCTAAACATTCCAGAGCATGAACAGAGTCTTTCAAAGCTGGATCCTGAGGTTTTTTTAAGGGCCAGGAGCCCTGGGGGTGGGAGGGGGCTTTTAAAGGTAATTATTTTAAAGTTCGTTTTTCTGAAGCTGCCTCGTACAAGGTGAGAGACATTTTCTCCTTGTGAACCCTACAAAAAGCTTTATTAAAAAGCTGTCAGTGGGACCGATTGCAAGGGAAGTTTGCCGTACTATCTCCCCTACCCCAACCCTTGACAGAGCCGCTCTCACAAATGCCCGACTATAGGTGCTGGAAGTCGGGGTGCTGCAGCACCCCCCGACTTGAAGTAGTCTCCGTTATCTAGGGGGGTTACAGTTTGGCTCAAGGGCTCTCAGCAGCCCCACTTATAAACATTGTTGAGCCTGACTTGCCGAGATTTGCTTTGCAGAGCAATGTTCGAGCTTGCTGCTCTGACAATTCCCTAGTAGCCCTAAGGCTGGCTCCTCCGTCCCACGTTAAGGTCAAAGAGAGGTGCCGACTACACAGATCTCAGCTTCAGTTCATCCCATCCCAGAAGGAAAGATGCAACTGCCCCAGACTCCCAGCTGTTACCTGTTGAGGCGGAGGTTCCTCCCAGAGAGCTCATCCAAATCCTGCTGGGTCCGGCAGGTGGAAAGGAGAGACGCTTGCAGAAGCGCTAGCCTCCTGCATGGTACTGTTTGAGGGATCACCACCCAGGTCTCCTTTTTTCCATAGCTGGCAAAGGTCACCATCGCCCCAGCTTCCTCTCCATGAAAGGGGCTTTCGGAGCTGCTGTCCAGCTGGTCACTGACCTCTGGCTGGCATTGACCAGCCCACGGCTGAAGTGGTTAACCCGTCCCCCCTTCCCCGAGCGCTTCCAGCTCAACAAGGCTGAGCGATCTTATCGACGTGTGATCATTACTCACTGGTGACAGGCGGAGCTGCGGCGCTCCTAAGTGAGTGTGACAGCTCCCAGCGTGTGGCTGCCGCGCACCCAGCAGCCTCAGACTTGTTCTTCCTCAAACTGGGTCTCGCAAGCAAGTCTGCGGCTTAACCCTTCGCGGCCTCCCCGAGGAGCAGTCGCAGAGGTCACTGGGAAACCCCAACCCAGCAGGGCTTGCCCCTTGGAGGTCATCAGCAAAGTTGCTTGGCTTGCATCTTGTTGTAGCCGGTCAGTGTCTGTTCTTAGTTTGCTTTCCAGGAACAGCGGGCGTAGTAACTCCGGGGGCCGGGTTTAGCCTGGAAGCCAAACATTTCTTCTTTGGGTTGAGGGACTTGCTGGGTCCTCTAGGCAAAGCAGACCCCTGTGGGGCCATATCTTTTGTCCCGGGCTTGGGAAAGGTCGCAATACTAGCGTGCAACCCTTCAGACAAGTAGTCCCCTTCCCGCACTCCCTTTGCTGTTTCGTCCTGTGTCCTCCTTCTGGCACGTTCCCCATTGAGGGGTGTGCTGGAGTCGATGGAAATACTGCTCCATTCAAAGTGCTGGCTTCGCCTTTTGGAGGGTTATTTATAATAGTTTCAACAGGGACAAGTCAAAGTACCCGCAAGAGAAAAGGGAAAGTCTCTCCCGGAGGCACTGCCAGTGACCAAAGAAAAGCCTTTACCACCATTAAACTTGAACATGTGAGAACATGTGTCCTTCACGGGGCGGGGGAGAGGGGGGAGGGAGAAGACAAGGTCATTTGGAAACGAGAAATAAGTCTTGGGTAAGTCGCAAATGCAATCGAGGGTGCGTGTTTGTGGGCTTTCAAAACTTGATTCCACCAGGCTCCAAGATCCTCCGGAACACTTCCACTGCTTTGCGAAGTTTTTAGACACCGAGAAAAGATAGAGAGAAAGGAATCCACAGGCAGACGCATTATCAACACTCCGCCGATTTGTAATGTGCATTTTAAAACTTTCCAATAGACGATCTTGGCGCCCTCCAAAGAACTAACATCAGCAGAAGGAAACCCATCAACTAAAAGTGGTCAAGATTCTGTAAGAAAATGTTTTCCTTAACTCCAGATACTCTGGTCAATACATCTAATCTGTTTTTTCTTTTCATTAAGCCTTTAAAACTAGACAAGACAAAACACAGAAGGGAATCATGCTGTATTTGCCAAGGAAGGGATCAAATATATCCCCCTCCCCTGCCCCCATCTCTTTAACTTCTTTGATTTAAACAACCCTCCTTGAAAGACCTTATAATGTGCAGGAAATATTCTTGATACAGTTATATGGTTTTTTTTAAAAGATGGTATAAGTAGTGTGATTATGCCGGAATGAGTGAAGTCTTACAATCATGATTATCATTTCCATCATCCCTCTTATGTACAAATAGGAAGCTTTCTAAACTGGAAAAATCAGACATCAATTCCCAGAGAAGCATTAAAAAGCAAGACAAGCACTACTCTGTAGTGGAATTGCTTGTAAGTCTCTCTGTTTTGCCAAGGTGGCAGCAAAACACAGGGTTAGGCAGATTGGAGGAACGCAAGAAACTTCAACATTTAAGAACACATTGTGGGTTAGCTAAGGAGTTAGTAACCTACCAGCTTTTAAAACCTCCCCCCACCGTAGCTTAGTGGGATTTATTTATTTATTTCCCTCCTTTGAATTATTAATCTTAGCTATAGCCTGATTGCTTGGACCTTAAACAGTGTCTTTTTCTAAAATTGATGAAGCTTTTTAAAATACAAACTGCTGTGTATGGTTGTAAAGGAAATCAACTGAAAGGGGGACACAGAAGTATACTCCTCTTAAGTTAACTGTGATTGTAAGTGGGGTTAGCCAAGTGATCCATACTAAAGGCCCGCTGATGCAATAAGAAAGAATGAAAAACTATAACAAAAAAACCAAATCAAAACAGCTTGTTTTGCAGATATGGCTATGTTATTTGCACAATATAAGTAGAAGAAACAGTAAAGGGAGTTAGCCTATTACAGAATGCCTTCCCTCACCTGGATTTTTTTATATAAACATTCTTACATAAGCACATAACATAAGAAGATAAGAAGATACTGGATCAGACCAAAGGTCCATCTAGCCCAGTAGCCTGTCTGCCGTCAGTGGCCAGCACCAGGTGCCCCGGAGGGGGTGGACTGAAGACAATGATCAAGTGATTTGTCTCCTGCCATCCGTCTCCAGCCTCTGACAAACAGAGGCCAGGGACACCATTCCTATCCACTAGCTAATAGTCTTTTATGGACCTAACCTCCATGAATTTATCTAGCTTCTCTTTAAACTCTGTTATAGTTCTAGCCTTCACAGCCTCCTCTGGCAAGGAGTTCCACAGGTTGACCATGTGCTGTGTGAAGAAGGACATTTGCTTATTAGTTTTAAACCTGCTACCCATTAATTTCATTTGGTGTTCTCTAGTTCTTATATTATGGGAACTAATGAATAACTTTTCTTTATTCACCCTCTCCACACCACTCATGATTTTATATACCTATATCATATCCTCCCTCAGTCTCCTCTTTTCACACATTCTTAGTAAGTTCCTCACAATGTACTTCATTTACAATAGCTCATGTGACTTCATGTCCCAGCTCCACAAGGCTTTTCTCAAGCACAGAGTAAAAGACTGGGGAAAGATCTCACCACTCTGAGATTTTGGGCTTCTTTGCCCTTCCTTCCAACTTGCCTTCTAAGTGGCAACTGGATCTATTTAATCTATGGGATCCCAAGCCCTTGTTAACTGAAGCAGATCCCTCTCCAGGACAGGCATAAGGATCTTGTGCAAAACAGGGGGGTTGTGCAAAAAAAAAGTCCACAGTTTTTTTTTTTTTTTGCACAAAAACCCCTTATGCTAAAATAAAAGGCAGAAAATATGACAATCATGTCACAACTCATGCTAATGAGTCCCTCATTAGCATATTTTCTGCCGAAAATACTTGTAATGTAGACGAGCCTGAGTTAAGTACCCCACCCTTAATAAAAGTATCTCCTCAATTTGGCTCCTGCCAGTGGAAGCTTGCAGCGTATTCAGCTTACTCTCATTCTGTCATAGAGCCTGATCAAAAAATCAATTGAAATGCACTCATTTACTTAAATGGGCTTTGGTTCCTGAATTTACAGGTGATCGAAAGGGAAATTGGAATTATAGCCAATTTATCACTAATTTCTGACAAATAAAACATGTGCTTTTTACTTAGCTGGGCAAAGCCATCCTAAGAGCAAAGTCTCCTGCAAATACTTGATATTTTTTGTTGATTGATTGAGTAATTGACTGACTGACTGATAGATAGCTGTGAACACCTGTAAACACCTTGCCAAAAACAGTTGAGGCTTTATTCACTAGATAGTATGTGAATAAAGATATGTTAGAAATCATACAGGTATCCAATCAAGCAGATATATTTAGATTCCAATAGAAAACATCATTATGTGTAAAAGCAGACTGGGTAGCCATAGGTCTTAGATGATTAGACACAACAAATTCTGCATTCTGGTAGGGTGTTAAATTGCATGATCCTTGTGGTAACCCTACGATTCTATGTTTGAGAAGAGGACCTTACCCAATATTGGGTGACATAATTTGTGCCTATAGTAGTTTAGGACAAAATAGTGGTCAGCTTCATGTCAACTAATAGTAACTCAAAGAGCCTGTAGTGAATACAAATCCATAAAAATGCTAGTAATTGGTTTCCACTTCTGTACAAGGTGTAGTGTATTCAAATAATCACAAGTTCAGATTTGGCCAATAATTTTCACTTGAAATTCAGGTCTCTCTCTTCTCTCTCTCTGTATACAGGCTGTTCCCAACTTGCGACGTGATGGGTTCCAGGAACAGCATTGCAATTCGGGGGCATCATAACTTGACCCACATTTACGACAGGCGTCATATGCCATCGTAAATGAGGGGCCGAGGGCATAAGTTGGGAGATTTCAGGCCCTTCTGCACTTACAGAAAAGGTCATAAGTGCGGAGGGTTATAAATTGGGCCATTGTAAAGTAGAGGCCTCCGGTATATATTTATGCATCTGTCTGTGAATCCATCTGTGTGTCTGTCTGTGAGTCCATTTGTTCAAGAACTCCTTTTAAATGGTAGGTCTTAAGACCACAGCATTTGGTATGCAGCTTCCTCTTATCCTAAATTAAAGCAAGGTCAGAATGTGGTTATGTTAGGAAAACAGTATGTAACTAGAATTCAATTGTTTTCAATAACATGAAAGGGAGAGGGCAGAAAGAGGAGGGGCCTGATACTCTCAGTCACCACTAGAGGAAGTAAGCGTGGGAGACAGCTAACCATGCAGAGTGATCACTGGGTGCAGCCACACCATCAAAGCAGTGGGCTACTGGGGAAGGGGCTCGCCATCTTACCTGGCTCCCTCACTTAAACCCTTCCCCTGGGGGAGGAAGCCCTGCTGACCCCACTGTCACACCCTCCCTGGTGTACACCGAAGGTGCTGGGCAGTGCAGCCCTGCCCTCTCCCACCCAGGACTGACCATCAGGCCACCCAATGTGGCCATAGCCAGCTAGCCTGTGTGGCCTCCCCCTGGTCTGGGTCTGGGAAGCGCCAGCAGGGAAGGATGGTGCTGTTACAGCCCCCCATTATTGGGCCAGGCCCCCTCAATCTCCAGTCCCAGGTTGACCCTCCTTTTTCAACACCACCCCCAAACTCCTGGCCCTGTGCTGGCCCTTTTCCACTTACGCCATGCTGCCCCCTAAATCCTTGGCCAGGCCTTCCTACCACCCCGGGCCCACTCCATCCTTGGGCCAACCTGCCAGCCCTCCCCCAGCCAAAAGGCCAGGCCCTCCTCCCATCCTGGGCTCCCTTCTGGGCCAGGCCTCCCCTTACTCTGGCCACCAACTCACCTGGGGAGTACCAGAAAGAGGCTAGGGTGGCCTCCCTTCCCACCCAGGCAATGCTGAGTAGTTATCTAAATAACTAGCTTGTGGGGATAAGAAACTGGCTAAAAATCAATAGGCATATGAATTGTTCCTGCAGTTGTTTATGTGCCCAAAATCTCAGGTTAAAAATGGAAGACCAATTACTTGAGATGAGAGAGCTTTTCTGTTACTTGCTTCTGTTACTTTGTTTCTTCACTACCTAGCATGGTGGAAGCTGGAACTGCAGGAAAAGCCTTTCTCCAAGGTGAAAAATGGCCATTATGGGTTGTTGCTGAAACAGGTTCTCAATAAAAGAATAGAAACTCTTTTTTGTATTAAAGCCAGCCATTGAACTGAGTAGGGTAGTTGTCCATCTCTGGACACAAGGCCATCTAGCACACGTCTATCAGAGACACACTTGAACTGAGCCATTGAACTGAGTAGGGAAGTTGTCCATCTCTGGACACAAAGCCATCTAGCACACGTCTATCAGAGACACACTCTGATGCATGTATATAGAACTGAAAAAGTGAACTACAATAAAAGTCACTCCGCCAAATTCATTATATTGTCTCCAGGGCCTCCATCTCTTCTCTTTCACTTTTAGTGGAGAAGGGCTAGAAGACAAACAATCAATATAGATCTAGAAACAACATCAGCTTCTGATCAACAAGTCCATCTCTCTTACTTCCCAAATGATCTCAAAAGCCTATTGATTCTATTTTTTATTAAAAAATCAGATTAATTTTTACTTGCATATTCAAGATTGAAGAAGCAGTAATCCTTCTCTTCTCATTAAGGCTGTTTTCAGCAGGCTTCAATGACCTTTAGTATTTTTTAAGGAGACCATTCTTATGAAAGGGATATTCCAAATGGTTTAACAGGACCCAGTATACTTTCAGCTCAATAAACAAACAAAAGAGAAAAGTTCAATGCCTTTTTGAAATTAGGGTTGCCAAATGGTTTCAACAAAAATACTGGACACACTTGACATTACATTACAATCTATGTTACATCTTATTTAGAAAATACCGGACATTTATATATTCTCATTTATATTTTTCAATTTGTTTCCCGAACTAAAAGCTCAAATAATGGACTGTCTGGTTCAAAACCGGACACCTGGCAACCCTATTTAAAGTACATATAGCTCTGATTTTGAGTCAAATGTTATAACTGTAATACAAGCATTGTTAAATCTGTACTGCTAGATTTGAGGAATACTGATATTGATTCCTCTGTGAAGTTGGAAAAAATAACATGACACTCTGAACTCTTTAAGGATGTGTCCTGATATTGATTCCTCTGTGATGTTGGAAAAAATAACATGACACTCTGAACTTTTTAAGGATGTGTCCACGCTGCAACATTATTTTGAGATAACTAGCTTTATTTTTAAATAACAATGTGAGCATCTACTGACGTCTTATTCCAGAATCTGTCAACCTCATTCTACAAGGAATAATGCCTATTCTGAAATAGCTATTTGAAAATAAGGTGTATGTAGATGCTCCACTGCTGCTATTTTGAAATAGCCCCTCACTGGGGCCATTCTAAGTTGTTCTTCCGCAGTGCCTCCTGGGGCTCTAAATCAAGATAACATGTCTACATTATGGAAGCCTGCCTAAGACTTATTTGGAAGCTATATTGAAATAAGCAATTTCAGAATAACTATTCTGAAATAGAAGCTTCAGGGGTAGCCGAGTTAGTCTGTTACAGAAAAAAACAACAAATGGTCTGGTAGCACTTTATAGACTAACAAAACCTGTAGATGGTATCATGAGCTTTTGTGAGCACAGCCCACCTCTTCAGATGACCGGAAAGCTGTGCCCATGAAAGCTCATGATAGCTACATGTTTTGTTAGTCTATAGAGTGCTATGAGACCATTTGTTGTTTTATTCTGGACTAGCTTATTGCTAAATAGCTGCACAGTATAGACATACCTTTAGTGGCTTAGAGTATTTTGAATGTTCATTGTTCTTTGAAATATTTTCAACAAGTGTGACTCAGATAGCACTTTCTGAAGACTCAGCTAATACAATGAAGGTAATGGTTAGGATTATCAGGGGAGCTAGGCACTCAAATCCCATTGTGCACCTAACTCTCAGGCTCCTCTGAAAACTCCAGCCAATAATTCTAGA